CCGACAGTGAAAAATTCGGGTCGTGACAGTTTAGTATTACTTTTTTTCTTTTTTTGGTATTGAATATTATAGAGTGGTAAAGTATTACCAATATGGAGGATTCTTATGAAATTGATTTTATTAAACCTTCCTAAATATTTTTAATAAGAATTCAGTAGACAAGATTGTATTAATTTTAAAATCTAAAATATTAAAAAAATTAACATAGAAGTTATTGTCCCTTCCCTATGAGTTCTTTTGTTTAATATTTTAGGGCTATCAGTTTGGACAATATTATACGTTTTTAAATTAAAATTAGTAATAAGAATTTTTTTAAAAGTATATCCTAAAAGTAATAGGATTAGATGGCTAAAAATATATCTCAAAAATAATTATACTAATATAAAATCTATGTCACGACCCGGATTTTCCATCATCGGGACCGTGATGACGTAAATATTCGGACGTTAGGCAAGCCAACAGTTAGAGATTTAATGTGCTAACCCTGGACCAAATCAGTAAATAACAGCAATTAAACCAAAACAGATTTAAAGAGTGCAGAATTTCATGATAACCCAAGTAATCATACACAACTACCCAGAAACTGGTGTCACAATTACGAACTTCTAAGAATTATTACAAATACTGGCTGAAAGAAAGTACAACTGTCTTTGAATTAAAAGAAAAAAATAGTAAACTGGAAGGGGACTCCAGGGTCTGCGAACGCCGGTAGATCTACCTTGGGTCTTCTATGGGTCTGAAGGCAGCAACTCAACTCGGGTCAACACGGTCCAGTACCGGAACCTGCACAGAAAGTGCAGAGTGCAGTATCAGTACAACCGACCCCATGTACTGGTAAGTGCCGAGCCTAACCTCGGTGAAGTGGTGGCAAGGCTAGGACAAGGCGCATACATAAACCTATGTAGTTAAACAGTATGCTAACAGAAAGAACAATTAATAGAAGCTAAGCAGATATTAACGGGAGGGGAAACATGCTAAGGGGGTACCAAAATAAAGAAGCACAGCAGTAGAGGAATTTAAATAGCTAGTACACCTTGAACCGGTAATAACAAGTAAGCACATCAGACGGGAAGTGGCCGACATCACCCTTCGTGCTTTTACTGTCAACCTCATCAGATAATCAATAATAGAAACGTGCACGACATCACCCTTTTGTGCTTTACCACTCAACCTCACCATATGAATAATAGAAATGTGCACGGCATCACCCTTCGTGCATTATCACTCTTCCTCACCACATAATTAATAGAAACGTGCACGGCATCACCCTTCGTCTTTTATCACTCTACCTCACCAAAACAGGGACAACAACAATAGAGAGATAGAAATGGCAACAACAAGCCTTACTTCAACACTTAGCTCCACAATACCAATCTCAACTTTGGGTAAAGACCCCATTAATACCAAATTCAATAAAACATGATAAGAAACTTCTCAACACATCGAATAACTAGTCTACACATGAACAATATGATCAAAAATACAACATTTGCAAGAATAAGACTCACTCACATGCTATGACTCGACAACAACGTATAGATACTCGTCACCTCACCTATATATTGTACTCAACATCCAAACACGTAACACGTAAGCAAATAACACCTAATCCCTCAAGATAAGGTTAGCCACGACACTTACCTCGCTCCTTCGGCCAAACCCAAGACTCAATCACCGCTTTTCCCTTCACACAAGCTTCCGGACCAATAGAATCTAGCAAATTATCAACCAAACAATTCAATTTAAGCCTTAGGAACTACCCATGATAGCAAGGAATTCAATGTAGGCCATTTTTGAAAAAGTCAACAATAGTCAACACCAGAGCCCGCTTGGTCCAAACCTGAAATAGCCATCTGGATGCTCGACTGATAGCTGTTGTTGTAGGAAAACTCCGCTAACGGCAAGAACTGATCCCAAGAACCTCCAAAGTCAATAACACAGGCGCAGAGCATATCCTCCAAGATCTGAATCGTACGCTCGGACTGTCCGTTCATCTGAGGATGAAATGTTGTGCTTAACTTGACCCGCGTACCCAACTCACGCTGTACTGACCTTTAGAAATACGAGGTAAACTGCGTACCTCGATCAGAAATGATAGACACAGGCACACCATGAAGATGAACGATCTCACGGATATAAATCTCTGCCAACCACTCCCAAGAATAGGAAACTGCCATGGGAATGAAATGCGCTGACTTAGTCAGCCTATCCACAATAACCAAAACTGCGTCGAACTTCCTCTTAGTCCGTAGGAGTCTAACAATGAAATCTATAGTGATACGCTCCCACTTCCACTCAGGAATCTCCATCTTCTGAAACAAACCACCAGGTCTCTGATGCTCATACTTTACTTGCTGACAATTTAGACACCGAGCTACATATGCAACAATATCCTTCTTCATCCTCCTCCACTAATAATGCTGCCACATGTCCTGATACATCTTGGCGGTGCTCGAAGAATAGAATATCGGAAACTGTGGGCCTCCTCTAGAATCAACTCTTAAAGCCCATCCACATTAGGCACACAAACACGACCCTGCATCCTCAAAACTCCATCATCTCCAACCGTAACCTGCTTGGCATCACCGTGCCACACTGTGTCCCTAAGGACAAGCAAATGAGGGTCATCATACTGTCGCTCCCTGATGCACTCAAACAAGGAAGACCGAGCGACTATGCAAGCTAAAACACGACTGGGCTCAGAAACATCCAACCTCACGAACTGATTGGCTAAGGCCTGAACATCTAACGCAAGCGGTCTCTCACTGACTGGAATGTACGCAAGACTGCCCATACTACCTGACTTCCTACTCAAAGCATCGACCACCACATTGGCCTTCCCGGGATGATACAAGATGGTGATATCATAGTCTTTCAATAGTTCCAACCACCTCCTCTGCCCCAAATTGAGCTCTTTTTGCTTGAACAAGTACTGCAAACTCTTATGGTCCGTGAAAACCTCACACGACACGCCATAGAAATAGTGCGTCCAAATCTTCAACGCGTGGACAATGGCTACCAGCTCCAAGTCATGAACTGGATAATTCTTCTCGTGAACCTTCAGTTGTCGTAAAGCATATGCAATAACCTTGCCACCCTTCATCAATACCTCACCAAGTCCAATACGAGATGCATCACAATATACCATCACCAGCGCCGTAGTCAAAGCTGTCTTGAGCTTCTGAAAGCTTGCCTCACACTCGTCCGACCATCTGAACGGGGCACCCTTATGGGTCAACCTGGTCATCGGGGATGCTATAGATGAAAACCCCTCCACAAACCGACGACAATAACCCGCCAACCCCAAGAAACTCCGGATCTCTGTAGCTGATGTAGGTCTAGGCCAATTCTGAACGGCCTCAATCTTCTTAGGATCCACCTGAATACCCTCTGCTGATACAAAGTGACCCAAGAAAGCAACTAAAGTCAACCAAAACTCACATTTCAAAAACTTAGCATATAACTGGCTGTCTCTTAGAGTCTGGAGAACGATCCGAAGATGCTTCTCATGCTCCTCTCGGCTGTGGGAGTAGATCAAGACATCATCAATAAAAACAATCACAAAGGAATCCAGATAGGGTTTGAACACCCGGTTCATCAAATCCATAAATGCTGCTGGGGCATTTGTCAGCCCGAATGACATCACTAGAAACTCATAATGCCCATACCGAGTCCGAAAAGCTGTCCTAGGGACATCAGATGACCTAATCCTCAACTGATGGTAGCCAGACCTCAATCGATCTTTGGAAACACTTTGGCACCCTGAAGCTGATCAAATAAGTCATCAATCCTCGGCAATGGATACTTATTCTTGATAGTGACTTTGTTCAACTGCCGATAATCTATGCACATGCTCATCGATCCATCCTTCTTCTTTACAAACAACACCGGCGCACCCCAAGGAGAGACACTTGGTCTAATAAAGCCCTTATCAAGAAAATCTTGCAACTGCTCCTTCAATTCTTTCAACTCTTTCCAACTCCACCTCTAGTTGTCTGACCCCTACCTCTAGTTGGCGGGGCCATGCGGTATGGCGAAATAGAATTGGGCTGGGTGCCCGAAACCAAATCAATACAGAAGTCAATATCCCTGTCGGGTGGCATCCCCTGCAGGTCTGCAGGAAATACCTCTGGAAACTCTCGAACAACTGGTACAGAATCCATGGATGGAACCTATGCACTAGAATCGCGGACATAAGCCAAATAAGCTAGACAACCCTTCTCGACCATGCGTCGAGCCTTCATATAAGAAATAACCCTGCTGGTAGAATGGCCAGGATTCCCTCTCCACTCTAATCGAGGCAACCCCGGTAAAGCTAAGGTCACGATCTTGGCATGACAGTCCAATATAGCATGATAGGGTGACAACTAATCCATCCCCAAAATGACATCAAAGTCAACCATATCGAGAAGTAGGAGATCTACACAAGTCTCAAGACCCCCAATAATGACCATACACGAACGTAGACACGATCTACAATAATAGAATCCCCAGCGGTGTGGACACATAAATGGGAGAACCCAAAGAATCACGAGGCACAAACAAGTATGAAGCAAAATAGGATGATACATACGAATAACTAGATCCTAGATCAAATAATATTGAGGCATCCCTACTGCAAACTAAAACCGTACCTGTGATAACCGCTTCAGATAACTCAGCCTCAGGCCTGGCTGGAAAAGCGTAGCATCGGGGTACTCAGCCTCAGGGCTGGCTGGAAAAGCATAGCATCGGGGCTGGGCCCCACCACTCTGAACTGCATCTCGAGGATGGGCCCTGTCTGGCTGGCCTCTACCTCTAGCGTCCTGACCTCCATCTCTAGCTGTTTGACCCCTACCTCTAGCTGGCTGAGCGGGCGGTGGGACACCTGGTGCCGTGACCATGGCATGAGAACCTTGATGCCGAGAACTGCTTGATGCTCGAGGGCAATACCTAGCAATGTGCCTCGGATCGTCACAAGTATAACAAGATCTTGGCAGCTATGTCTGATGACCCTGAAACTAACCCTGGCGGCCTGAGTAACCACCCTGAAAACTCTGGAGCGGAGGTGCAATGATAGGAGCTAGTGGTGCACTATAGGCTAGCTGATCGAAAAACTGCAAATGAGAGCCACGACCACCTGGAGCACCGTGAGAAGCCTGAAGCGCTGAATGAAACAGTTTGGGAGGATGGCCTCTGCCAAAAGTACCGCGGCCTCCAGATGAGGCCCCACTGAATCCACCGGAGTGACAAGGCCTCTTGTCAGACCCCTGACCACTCCCCTGAGCTAAAACCATCTCAACTCGTCTGGCGACATTGGCTGTATCCTGGAAAGAAATCTCGCTCCCTGTCTCCTTAGCCATCTGCAATCTGATAGGCTGAGCAAGTCCCTCTATAAATCTCCTCACCCTCTCTCTCTCGAAGGGGAGTATTAGAAGAGCATGATGAGCCAAATCAATAAAGCGGGTCTCGTACTAAGTAACGGACATGATGCCCTGCTGAAGGCGCTCGAACTACCTGCGATAGTCCTCTCTCAGTGTAACAGGAAGGAACTTCTCGAGAAATAGCTGAGAGAATTGGTCCCACGTCAAAGAAAGCGACCCAGCTGGTTTGGCCTAACAAAAATCCCTCACCATTTCTTGGCGGAACCTGAAAGGCGAAAGGCAGCAAAGTCGACCCCATTGGTCTCCACTATCCCCATGTTACGTAACACCTCATGACAACTGTCCAGATAGTCCTGGGGATCCTCTGAAGATGTACCACCATGGTGAGTGGTGGAAATCTTGGTAAACCTATCCACTCTCCACAAAGCCGCAGAAGACATAGTTGATCCATCACCGTTCTGTGCTGTAACACCCGGCGGAACTACCGTAACAGGCTGAGCTGCTGGAGTCTGAAACTAGGGAGCCATCTGCTCTGGAGTGTGAGTAGCGGGAGTCTGGGCTCCTCCCCCAGCCTGAGAGACGGCTGGTGCTACATGCAATGTGCCGGCCTAAGCGACACTCTCCATAAGGCCCACTAGACGGACCAAAGTATCCTGAAGTACCGGGGTGGCGATGAACCCCTCTAGAACCTGAGCTGGCCCTGCTGGAACGGTCTGGGCTGGAGCTTCTCATCAAAATCTACCTGAGGCTCCGCTGCTGCTGCTGCTGCTCGAGCTCTAGGCTGAGCCTTACCCCGCCCTCGGCCTCTAGCACGGCCTCGTCCTCGTCCTCTTCCCCTCATAGGAGCTACCACTGGGGGCTCTGGCTGCTGCTCGGCTGAAGAAGCAGTACGTGTTCTCGCCATCTGCGAAAGAACAAGAGTAGAGAGTTCAATTAGCATTGAGAGATCAAATCGCACGACAGAGAAGAATAGAAGTGAAATTGTTCCTAAACTCTATAGCCTCTGGGCATAAGCACAGACGTCTCCGTACCGATCCCTCAGACTCTACCTAGCTTGTTCGTGAATTGTGAGACCTAGGCAACCTAGGGCTCTGATACAACCTTGTCACGACCCGGATTTCCCACCGTCGGGGCCGTGATGGCGCCTAACATTTCGGACGCTAGGCAAGCCAACAGTTAGAGATTTAATACGCTAACCTTGGACCAAATCAGTAAATAACAACAATTAAACCAAAACAGATTTAAAGAGTGCAGAATTTCCTGATAAACCAAGTACTCATACACAACTACCCAGAAACTGGTGTCACAATTCACGAACTTGAAAGAGTCACTAGAAATACTGGCGGAAAGAAAGTACAACTGTCTTTGAATTTAAAGAAAAAAAATAGTAATCTGGAATAACTGGAAGGGGACTCCAGGGTCTGCGAACGTCGGCAGATCTACCTTGGGTCTCCTGTGGGTCTGAAGGCAGCAACTCAACTCGGGTCAACACGGTCCAGTACCGGAATCTGCACAGAAAGTGCAGAGTGCAGTATCAGTATAACCGACCCCATGTACTGGTAAGTGTCGAGCCTAACCTCGGTGAAGTAGTGATGAGGCTAGGACAAGGCGCATACATAAACCCGTGCAGTTAAAATATATGCTAACAGAAATAATAATTAATAGAAGCTAAGCAGATATTAACGGGAGGGGAAACATGTTAAGGGGGTACCAAAATAAAGAAGCATAGCAGTAGAGCAATTTAAACAGCTAGTACACCTTGAACCGGTAATAACAAGTAAGCACAGCAGACAGGAAATGCACGACATCACCCTTCGTGCTTTTACTCTTTACCTCACCAGATAATCAATAATAGAAACGTGCACGGAATCACCGTTCGTGCTTTACCACTCAATCTCACCATATGAATAATAGAAATGTGCACGGCATCACCCTTCGTGCTTTATCACTCTTCCTCACCACATAAGTAATAGAAACGTGCACGGCATCACCCTTCGTGCTTTATCACTCTACCTCACCAAAACAGAGACAACAATAATAGGGAGATAGAAATGGAAACAACAAGCCTTACTTCAACACTTAGTTCCACAATACCAATCTCAACTTTGGGTAAAGACCCCATCAATACCAAGTTCAATAAAACATGATAAGAAATTTCTCAACACATCGAATAACTAGTCTACACATGAACAATATGATCAAAAATACAACATTTGCAAGAATAAGACTCACTCACATGCTATGACTCGACAACAACGTATAGATACTCGTCACCTCACCTATACGTTGTACTCAACATCCAAACACGTAACACGTAAGCAAATAACACCTAATCCCTCAAGATAAGGTTAGCCACAACACTTACCTCTCTCCTTCGGCCATACTCAAGACTCAATCACCGCTTTTCCCTTCATAAAAGTCTTTGGACCAATAGAATCTAGCAAATTATCAACCAAACAATTCAATTTAAGACTTAGGAACTACCCATGATAGCCAGGAATTCAATGTAGGCCATTTTTGAAAAAGTCAACACCCGGGCTCGCTTGGTCCAAACCTAAGATTTGGACCAAAACTCGATTACTCATTCACCCCCGAGCCCGGATATACAATTGGTTTTGGAATCCGACCTCAATTTGAGGTCTAAATCCTCAAATTTTGAAATTCTTAATTTCTACCAAAAAATCCCCCATTCCACCATGAAAACCCTAGATTCTAGGATGAAATCTTGTAAAAAGAGGTGAATGATTGAAAGAAATTAGTTAAGAATCACTTACTTATGATTTGGGAAAGAAAAAGTCTTTGGAAAATGGCCTCTTGTGTACTAGGTTTTGAAAAATGGGAGAATGAATGAAAAATCCCGTCCACAGTCGTTTTTGAACAGTTGCAGGTATCGCATTTGCGATCAGGGGTTCACAAATGCGAACCCCGCAAATGCAAACTTTACTTCGCAAAAGCGAAGACTGACCTAGGCTTGCTAACATCGCAAATGCGAACATTTGTTTGCAAACGCGGCCTGAGCTGATCGCAATTGCGACCCCGAGTTTTGCAATTGCGAAGGTCCCCTCCCAGCCCTACTGCTCGCAAATGCGAACATTCTTCGCAAATGCGAGGCTCGCATTTAAGAGCCAAACCTCGCAATTGCGAGCCAGACCTCGCAATTGCGAAGTCTGCAGACCTGAAGCATACCAGTAAATTTTCTTTAGTCTAGATCACTCCGTAGCCTATCCGAAACTCACCCGAACCCTCGGGGTTCCAAACCAAACATGCACACAAGTCTTAAAACATCAAACGAACTTGTTCGTGCGATCAAATCGCCAAAATAACATCTAAAACTACATATTTAACGCCAAAACACATGAATTTCTTAAGAACACTTTAAAATTACTATTTTCACAACCGGACACCCGAATCAATCAAATCAACTTCGATTTTCACCAAATTTCATAGACATGACTTAAATATTATATTAAACCTGTACCGGGATCCGGAACCAAAATACGGGCCCGATACCAATGAGATCAAACATTAATCAATTTATTTAAATCATTAGATTTTCAGACTTACAATTTTTAACAAAAATTCATTACTTGGGCTAGGGACCTCCGAAACCGATTCCGAGCATATGCTCAGGTCCCATATTTCAATACGGACCCACCGGGACTGTCAAAATACGAGTCCGGATCTGTTTACTCAAAACGTTGACCGAAGTAAACTAAATCAACTTTTAAAGGCAAAAATTATTATTTTTCTCAAATTTCCACATAAAGGCTTTCCAGAAATCTGCCCGGAATGCGCACGCAAATCGAGGAGACATAAAATGAGGTTTTGAAGGCCTCGGAACACCGAATTGGGTTCTAAGCATATCCTCCAAGATCTGCACTGTCCGCTCCGGCTGTTCGTCGGTCTAGGGATGGAATGCTGTGCTAAGCTCTACGCGAGTCCCCAACTCACTCTGCACGACTCTCCAGAAATGGGAAGTGAACTGAGGGCCTCGGTATGATATGATGGAAACCAGCACACCATGCAATCGAACTATCTCCCAAATATAGATCTGAGCATACCTCTCCGCTGTATAAGTAGTCGCCACTGGGATGAAATGGGCCGACTTGGTCAATCTATCCACAATGAACCACACTAAATCAACCTTCCACAAAGTCCGCGGTAACCCAACTACGAAGTCATAGTAATGCGCTCCCACTTCCACGCTGGTATAGGCATCCGCTGAAGTAGGCCGCCTGGTCTCTGATGTTCATACTTGACCTGCTGGCAATTCAAACACTTAGTCACATACTTCACTATGTCCTTCTTCATCCCCCGCCACCAGTAGTGCTGCCTCAAATTAGGATACATCTTCGTGACTCCCGGGTGAATAGAATACCTCGAACTGTGGGCCGCTTCTAGAATCCTCTCCCTGAGACCATCAACATTAGGAACACATAGACGGCCCTGGAGCTGCAGCACACCATCCTCTCCAATAAAAACCTCCCTGGCACCTCCCTGAAGTACCGTCTCTCTGAGGACTGCCAAATGTGGATCATCATACTGTCGGGCCTTGATCTCCCCCAATAACGAAGACTGGGCGACCACACACGCTAGAACTCGGCTGGGCTCTGAAATGTCTAACCTCACAAGTCTGTTAGCCAAGGACTGAATGTCCAAGGCTAGTGGCCTCTCCTCTGCTGGAATGAATGCTAGGCTACCCATGCTCTCCGCCTTCCTACTCAGGGCATCCGCGACCACATTCACCTTGCCCGGATGATAAAGAATGGTGATGTCATAATCCTTCAGCAACTCAAGCCACCTGCGCTGCCTCGATTTGAGATCCCTCTGCTTGAACAAATGCTATAGGCTGCGGTGATCGGTGTAAACCTCACAAGGCACCCCATACAAATAGTGCCTCCATATCTTAAGAGCATGAATAATCGCCGCCTACTCCAGATCGTGCACGGGGTAATTTTTCTCATGAGTCTTCAGCTGACGCGAGGCATATGAAATAACTCTCCCCTCCTGCATCAACACACATCCCAGACCAACACGTGAAGCGTCGCAATACACCGTATACATCCCCGTACCGGAAGGCAATACAAGAACTGGTGCATAGTCAAAGCTGTCTTGAGCTTCTGGAAGCTCTCCTCACAATCATCCGACCAAATGAATGGGGCACCCTTCTGAGTCAGTCTCGTCAAGGGTGATGCAATAGATGAAAAGCCCTGCATGAACAATTTGACGATACATTCTGTACCTTGCTAAAAAACCGATCCTTCGCCGGTAATAACCTGCTAATCAGAGAAAACTCCTGATCTCGGTCACTGAAGTGGGACGTGGCCAACTCTGAACTCCGTCAATCTTCTTGGGATCCACCTTAATACCCTCTCCGGACACAATATGCCCCAAGAATGCCACAGACTCGAGCAAAAACTCACACTTGGAGAACTTAGCATACAGCTGTTGCTCTCGCAAGGTCTGAAGCACTACTCTCAAATGCTGCTCGTGCTCTCCCAGGCTACGCGAGTATATCAAGATGTCGTCAATGAAGACGATGACGAAGGAATCAATATAAGGCCTGAATACCCTATTCATCAGATCCATAAATGTTGCTGGCGCATTGGTCAAGCCAAAGGACATCACTAGAAACTCATAATGGCCATATCTAGTCCTGAATGCAGTCTTCGGAACATCCGAGTCCCGAATCTTCAGCTGATGATACCCTGACCTCAGGTCAGTCTTAGAGAACACCCTAGCTCCCTGCAGTTGGTCGAACATATCATCAATACGAGGCAACGGGTACTTGTTCTTGATGGTGACCTTCTTCAACTGGCGGTAATCAATGCACATCCGCATGGTCCCATCCTTCTTCTTCACGAATAGCACTGGTGCGCCCCAAGGCGATACACTAGGCCTGATAAACCCCTTTGCTAACAACTCCTCTAGCTGCTCCTTCAACTCCTTCAACTCCTTAGGGGCCATACGGTACGACGGAATAGATATAGGTTGAGTGCCTGGGGCCAAATCAATGCAGAAATTAATATCACGATCCGGAGATATGCCGGGCAGATCAGAAGGAAACATATCGTCGAACTCTCGAACTACTAGCACTGAATCAATCGTCGGAGACTCTGCAGTGACGTCTCAAACATAAGCTAGATAGGCCAAACACCCCTTCTCGACCATGTGTCGAGCCTTCAGGAAAGAAATAACCCTGCTAGGCATATCAATTGTGGAACCCTTCCACTCCAATCTCGGCGATCCTGGCATCGCTAGTGCAACAGTCTTGGCATGGCAATCAAGGACGACGTGATATGGAGATAACCAATCCATGCCTAGGATGACCTCAAAATCAATCATATCGAGCAACAGAAGATCAAATCTAGTCTCGAGACCACAGAGTGACCACACAGGACCGGTAGATCCGATCCACAACCACAGAATCACCCACAGGGGTGGACACATGAACAGGAACACCTAAGGGCTCAGGAGAAATAAATAGGAAGCGAGCGAATAGAGATGATAAATATGAATAAGTAGACCCTGGATCAAATAATACCGAAGCATACCTACCACCAACGGGAATAATACCTGTGATGACGGCATCTGAGGCCAATGCATCTGGCCTGGCTGGAAGAGCATAGAACCTGGCTGGAGCGCCGGCTTTCTGACCTCCACCTGACTGAGTAGTAGCTGGATGACCTCTCCCTGTCTGGCCTCCACCTCTAGGACGGCCTCTACCCGTCTTCCCTCCACCTCTAGGTGGCTGGGCAGCTGATGCTGGAGTCATGGGTTGCTGACCCTGCTGCACTGCCTTGCCCCGAAGTCTGGGGCAATGCCTCCTCATGTGACCAGGATCCCCGCACTCAAAGCAACTCCGCGGTGCGGCGACCTGCTGCCCCGAGGACTGACCCTGATGACCTGAAAATCCACTGGAAGAAGCCTGAATAGTCGGTGGACGGTATGAACCCTCCGTCATAGCACTGAAATGAGGACTGGAAGAATCTAGAGGACATGAATACCCACTGGAGGTGCCCTGAATAGCTGGAGGGAGATAAGAACTCTCCGGCATGGCGCTAAAATAGGAACGCGCGGGAGCACCCCGAGCAATTGGTGGTGCTGAAACTGGGGGCCTACTGGGCTGACCCCTACTGAACTGACCTCTACCCTTAGCCGGGGCGCCTCTAAACTCTCCGGATAATATGGCCCTCTTATCCTACTGCATCTGCTCTCTACCCCTCAGAAGATAACCCTCAATCCTGCGTGCGATCTCAACCACTAGCTGGTACCCTGTACCCATCTCTACCTCCTGAGCTATACCAGACCGGATGGTGGGATGTAATCCCGCAACAAACCTCCGTACTCTCTCTACCTCTGTGGGAAGTATCATAAGTGCATGGCGAGACAACTCAGAGAACCTCGCCTCGTAGTCGATCACTGATATCTGACCCTGCTCTAGGAGCTCAAACTGATACCGCAGCTCTTCCCTCTTTGAGGGCGGAATGTATCGATCCAAGAATAACTGAGTCAACTGACCCCAAGTGAGGGGAGGAGAACCTGCTGGCCTGCCAAGTACATAGGACTGCCACCATCTACGCGCTCTGCCCTCAAGCTGAAAAGTAGTGAAGTCAACTCCATGCGAATCCAATATCCTCATGTTGTGCAGCCTGTCCCTGCACCTGTCTATGAAGTCCTGAGCATACTCATGATTCTCACCCTCGAAGACTGGAGGATGAAGCCTGGTCCATCTGTCTAGTAGCTTCTGTGGATCACCATCCACAGCTGGCCTGGGCTGGGGTGCCATTGCAGCAACTGGCTGAGCCCCATCTGCGGGTAGTGCACCCGGAGTTTGATACACCGCAGCTGCATGGCCTGAAGCCTGAGCAGTTCGGGTCTGGGCCCCCCCTCCTGCCTGTGAAGTGGCTGGGTCTGCTGGAAATAACCCAGCCTGAGTCATAGTATCCATGAACCGTAGCATGCGGCCCATGACCTCCTGAAATCCCGGTGCTGTCATGAAATCCGCCGGGGTAGGCTCAGCTGCGGGCACCTCGCCCTGCTCCTCAATAATAGGGTCCTCCACAGGATCTGCTGGTGGTGCAACTGGAATAGCTCTGGGATGCCCTCATCCTCTACCACGGGCCGGTGCCCTCCCCCGGCCTCTACCTCGGCCTCTAGCAACGGGGGGAGCAGCTCATCCCGGGTCCGGAACGTCAGCGGTACGAGTTCTCACCATCTATGAGAGAATAGAAGAGGGAAATTTAGTACTCTAAGCACTGCACGACAGGAAATGAATAAAGAGTAGTCCTTCCTAATACCCTATAGCCTCTCGAAGATAAATACAGACGTCTCCGTACCGATCAACAAGACTCTATCAGGTTTGCCCATAACTCGTGAGACCTACGTGAACCTGATACCATGTTGTCACGACCCATTTTCACAATAGGTCATGAAGGCTCCTGACACCCTTGTCAGGCAAGCCATTTGCGGAAACATTTCTATATACTTATGTTGCTCTTAAATAAAAATAAGTGAAATAAACACTCAAAGTGGAATATAAACCAGAAGAACTGAATACTGTAATAATATGACTACACAACCCAAAAATGATCGTCTACCAAAGTGTGTGCCAGAACCTGGTGTCACAAGCTACGGGCAACTAGTAGAATATACATCCAAAAGAATACCACACTACCCTACTGTCTGGATCCGAATAGACAGAAAATAACAATACAAAAGAAAGACTTCTTCGGCTGCGGATTGACATGGAAGGAAAGCAGCTCACCGTAGAAGTCCCAAGCCTGCTCACGAATGCGCACCAGAGAAGTAACCGGATCCACCTGCCTCAGACCCTGTACATTTAAGTACAGAACCGTAGCATGAGTACATAAATAATATGTACCCAGTGAGTATCCGGCCTAATCTCGAAGAAGTAGAGACGAGAGGTTGACTTGATACTTACTAGGGTCAAGATAATATAATATAATTATGCTATTCTAAGCGTGAAAGTCACCAATATTCAACAAGTTATAACAAAAAGAAATAGTCATGTTGTCGTCCTTATTTCAGTTAAAGCAAGACCCCTACTGCTCAGGCTCCAGGCCATGCAACGGCAGTATATCAGACTCTGGGTGCAATACCCGCAGATGGGGCTCAGCTAGTTGCTGCAGTGGCACCCCAGCCCAGGCCAGCTATGGATGGTGACCCACAGAAGCTATTAGACAGATGGACCAGGCTTCATCCTCCGGTATTCGGGGGTGAGCGTCATGAGGATGCCCAGGACTTCATTGACCGGTGCAGGGACAGACTGCACAACATGAGGATATTGGAGTCGCATGGTGTTGACTTTACTACTTTTCAGCTCGAGGGCAGGGCCTGTAGATGGTGGCAGTCCTATATTCTTGGCAGGCCAGCGGGTTCTCCTCCGATCACTTGGGGTGAGTTCGTGCAGTTATTCTTGGACAGATACATTCCGCCATCTGAGAGGGAGAAGCTGCGGTACCAGTTTGAGCAGCTCGAGCAGGGTCAGATGTTTGTGACTGACTATGAGGCGAGGTTTTCTGAGTTGTCCCGCCATGCACTCATGATACTTTCTACAGATGCAGAGAGGGTGCGGAGGTTTGTCGCAGGGTTGCAGCCCGGGATTCGGTTTAGTATGGCTCGAGAGGTAGAGATGGGCATAGGGTATCAGCTAGTGGTCGAGATTGCTCGTCGGATTGAGGGATATCGCCAGAGGGGTAGAGAGCAGATACAACAGGATAAGAGAGCTAGGTTCTCCGGTGAGTTCAGGGGTGCCCCAACTAGGGGCAGAGGTCAGTTCGGGAGGGGCCAGTCTAGTAGGCCACCAGTTTCAGCACCACCACCTGCTCGGGGGCCTCCAGCACGCCCCTATTTCAGTGCTATGCCAGAGAGTTCCTACCGCCCGCCAGCTATCCAGGGTTCCCCCAGTGGGCATTCAGGCCCCCATGGTCCCCCTGACCCTTATTTCAATGCCATGCCGGAGAGTTCATGCCGTCCTCCAGCTATCCGGGGTTCTTCCGGTAGGTATTCAGGTCAGCAGACTCAGACTCCAGGGCAGCAGGCTATGGCGCCTAACTAGAGGTGGAGGCCAGACAGGGAGAGGTCAGCCGGCTACTACTCAGTCAGGTGGAGGTCAGACAGCCGGCGCTCCAGCCAGGTTCTATGCTCTTCCAGCCAGGCCGGATGCATTGGCCTCAGATGCCGTCATCACAGGTATTATTCCCGTTGGTGGTAGGGATGCTTCGGTATTATTTGATCCAGGGTCTACTTATTCATATGTATCATCTCTGTTCGCTCACTTCCTGGTTATTTCTCCTGAGCCCTTGGGTGTTCCTGTTCATGTGTCCACACCTGTGGGTGATTCTGTGGTTGTGGATCGGATCTACCGGTCCTGTGTGGTCACTTTCTGTGGTCTCGAGACTAGAGCTGATCTTCTGTTGCTCGATATGATTGATTTTGAGGTCATCTTGGGCAGGGATTGGCTATCTCCATATCATGCCGTCCTTGATTGCCATACCAAGACTGTTTCACTAGTGATGCCAGGATCGCCGAGATTGGAGTGGAAGGGTTCCACAGTTGACATGCCTAGCAGGGTTATCTCTTTCCTGAAGGCTCAGCACATGGTTAGAAAAGGGTGTTTGGCTTACTTAGCTTATGTTTGAGACACCACTGCAGAGTCTCCGACGATTGATTCAGTGCCAGTAGTTCGAGAGTTCGCCGATGTGTTTCCTTCTGATCTGCCCGGCATGCCTCCGGATCGTGATATTGATTTCTGCATTGATTTGGCCCCAGGCACTCAGCCTATATCCATTCCACCGTACCGTATGGCCCCTAAGGAGTTGAAGGAGTTGAAGGAGCAGCTAGAGGAGTTGTTAGCAAAGGGGTTTATCAGGCCCAGTGTATCGCCTTGGGGCGCACCAGTGCTATTTGTGAAGAAGAAGGATGGGACCATGCGGATGTGCATTGATTACCGCCAGTTGAACAAGGTCACCATCAAGAACAAGTACCCGCTGCCTCGTATTGATGATTTGTTCGACCAGCTGCAGGGTGCTAGGGTGTTCTCTAAGATTGACCTGAGGTCAGGATATCATCAGCTGAAGATTCGGGACTCGGATGTTCCGAAGACTGCATTCCGGACTAGATATGGCCATTATGAGTTTCTAGTGATGTCCTTTGGCTTGACCAATGCGCCAGCAGCATTTATGGATCTGATGAACAGGGTATTCAGGCCTTATATTGATTCCTTCGTCATCGTCTTCATTGACGACATCTTGATATACTCGCGTAGACTGGGAGAGCACGAGCAACATTTGAGAGTAGTGCTTCAGACCTTGCGAGAGCAGCAGCTGTATGCTAAGTTCTCCAAGTGTGAGTTTTTGCTCGAGTCTGTGGCATTCTTGGGGCATATTATGTCCGGAGATGGTATTAAGGTGGATCCCAAGAAGATTGACGGAGTTCAGAGTTGGCCACGTCCCACTTCAGTGACCGAGATCAGGAGTTTTCTCCGATTAGCAGGTTATTACCGGCGATTCGTGCAGGGCTTTTCATCTATTGCATCACCCTTGACGAGACTGACTCAGAAGGGTGCCCCATTCATTTGGTCCGATGATTGTGAGGAGAGCTTCCAGAAGCTCAAGACAGCTTTGACTACGCACCAGTTCTTGTATTGCCTTCCGGTACAGGGATGTATACGGTGTATTGCGACGCTTCACGCGTTGGTCTGGGATGTGTGTTGATGCAGGAGGGGAGAGTTATTGCATATGCCTCGCGTCAGTTGAAGATTCATTAGAAAAATTACCCCGTGCACGATCTGGAGTTGGCGGCGATTGTTCATGCTCTTAAGATATGGAGGCACTATTTGTATGGGGTGCCTTGTGAGGTTTACACCGATCACCGCAGCCTACAGCATTTGTTCAAGCAGAGGGATCTCAATTTGAGGCAGCACAGGTGGCTTGAGTTGCTGAAGGATTATGACATCACCATTCTTTATCATCCGGGCAAGGCAAATGTGGTCGCGGATGCCCTGAGCAGGAAGGCGGAGAGCATGGGTAGCCTAGCATTCATTCCAGCAGAGGAGAGGCCACTAGCCTTGGACATTTAGTCCTTGGCTAACAGACTTGTGAGGTTGGACATTTCAGAGCCCAGTCGAGTTCTAGCGTGTGTGGTCGCCCAGTCTTCGTTATTGGGGGAGATCAAGGCCCGGCAGTATGATGATCCACATTTGGCAGTCCTCAGAGAGACAGTACTTCAGGGAGGTGCCAGGGAGATTTTTATTGGCGAGGATGGTGTGCTGCGGCTCCAGGGCCGTCTATGTGTTCCTAATGTTGATGGTCTCAAGGAGCTGATTCTAGAAGAGGCCCACAGTTTGAGGTTATTCTATTCACCTGGGAGTCACGAAGATGTATCGTGATTTGAGGCAGCACTACTGGTGGCGGGGGATGAAGAATGGCATAGTGAAGTATGTGACTAAGTGTTTGAATTGCCAGCAGGTAGAGTATGAACATCAGAGACCAGGAGGCCTACTTCAGCGGATGCCTATACCAGCGTGGAAGTGGGAGCGCATTACTATGGACTTCGTAGTTGGGTTACCGCGGACCTTGCGGAAGGTTGATTCAGTGTGGGTCATTGTGGATAGATTGACCAAGTCGGCCCATTTGATTCCAGTGGCGACTACTTATACAGCAGAGAGGTATGCTCAGATCTATATTCGGGAGATAGTCCGATTGCATGGTGTGCCAGTGTCTATCATATCAGACAGAGGCCCTCAGTTCACTTCCCATTTCTGGAGAGCCGTGCAGAGCGAGTTGGGGACTCGTGTAGAGCTTAGCATAGAATTCCATCCTCAGACCGACGGACAGTCGGAGCGGACGGTGCAGATTTTGGAGGATATGCTTAGAGCATGTGCGATTGATTTTGTAGGGCAGTGGGATCAGTTCTTGCCTCTAGTAGAGTTCGCATACAACAACAGCTATCAGTCCAGCATAGAGATGGCCCCATATGAGGCTTTATATGGTCGACGATGTCGCTCTCCCATCGGGTGGTTTGAGCCTGGCGAGGCTAAGTTACTTGGTACAGATTTGGTACAGGATGCCTTGAATAAGGTAAAGATGATTCAGGAGAGGCTTCGCACAGCTCAGTCCAGGCAAAAGATCTACACGGATCAGAAGGCGCGGGATGTATCATTTATGGTTGGCGAGAAGGTTCTCTTGAAAGTCTCGCCCATGAAGGGTATTATGAGGTTCGGGAAGAAGGGCGAGTTGAGCCCAAGGTTTATTGGCCCCTTTGAGGTGTTGAGGAGAGTTGGGGAGGTTGTTTATGAGCTTGCCTTACTCCCTAGTTTATCAGGAGTTCACCCAGTCTTTCATGTTTCGATGCTTCGGAAATATCATTCAGCTAGATGAGAGCTTGGGCTATGAGGAGGAGCCAGTTGCTATTATTGATAGACAGGATCGCCAGTTGAGGTCCAAGAAGATTTCTGCGGTGAGAGTCCAGTGGAGGGGCCAACCGGTCGAGGAGGCGACCTGGGAGTCCGAGGAGGACATGCGGAGCAGATATCCCCACTTATTCAGCAGTCCAGGTACTTTTCTATGTCCGTTCGAGGACGAACGTTTGTTTAAGAGGTGGAGAATGTAACGACCCGACCGGTCGTTTTGCCTTTTAGAACCCCGTTCCCCTAAATAAAGCCCCCTTTACTTGCTTTAACTAATTTACTACTTGCGGGGGCGATTGGTTCGAGGATTGGAAGGGTTTTGAGTAAAAATATGCCCATTTGCTTCTTTAGGATTTCTTAAAAAGACCAAGTTTGACTTCGGTCAACATTTTGGGAAAACGGGCCCGGATTCATGATTGGGCAATTTCTGAGGGTCCGTGGGAAAATATGGGACCTGGGCGTGTGTCCGGAATCGAATTCCGAGGTCCCTAGCCCGAGTAATGAATTTTTATCTAAAATTGTTTAATTGAAGCTCTAAAGAATTAAAGAAACTAAGAAATCATTGATTCCCTAGGTATTAGGCTCGGATTATGGTTTTGAAGTTTGGTATAGGTCCGTAATTTCTTTTAAGACTTGCCCGTAAAATTTGGTGCCAATCCGAGTAGTTTAAGGGCGTTTTGACCCGTTAGAGGAGAGTTAAGAACTTGAGGATTCAATAGTTTGATTCATTTGGTTTTAGGGGGTGATTCCAAGATTTAGCATTGTTTTGGGAGTTTCGAGGGTTCGAGTAGGTCCGCCTCGTGATTTCATACTTTTCGGTATGTTCGGGCGGGGCTCGGGAGCCCCGAGCGTCAAACGAGCGAGGTTCGAGCGAAGTAGAAAAACTTAAATAGAGCTGGAGGTTTTGCTGCTTCTGTCATAACCGCATCTGCGGTTCTGAGCCGCAGAAGCGGGACCACAGATGCGGTCAGGCCATCGCAGAAGCGAAAGGGGGAGGCCCAGGAAAAGCCGCAGAAGCGGCCCAGGGACCGCAGAAGCGGTTGTGCTTATGCGATCCCCAGACCGCAGATGCAATCCAGCCCTTTTAGGCCCAAGCCGCAGAAGCGGCCCAATAACCGCAGAAGCGGTTCTGCATATGCGGGCCTCAGACTGCAGAAGCGGTCCAATCCCCTCTTGCCCAGTTCCGCAGATGCGGCCCCATCTTCGCAGATGCGGGATCGCAGATGCGGTCCCCTAACCGCAGAAGCGGAAATCGCTGGGCAGTGGCCTTCATTTAATTCGAACTCAGACATCATTTTTTATTTTACACTTCACACTTAGGCGATTTGGGGGCTTCCAAAGAGAGGGTTCCAACATAGCACTTCAAAGTTACTCCCATTCATTATTAGTTATATACATGTATATTAGGTAGATTAAACACTAAAAATCAGATAAAATCAAAGGGTTAGAGCTATACCTAGGGTTTTAATAAAATTAAGATTTAAGCATGAAATTTGATAGGGAATGGACTAGATATTATATATTATTTGATCCTTTGGTTGTAGAGAACAATTTTCTTCGAAAAATATCGGAATCCGGGCACGTGAGCCCGGGGTCGGAATTTAGGAAACTAGTGGAAAAGGTTGGGAAATTACTTAAATAGTTAGAATTCGACCTTTTAAGCCTTTATTGACTAGTTCTTACCTATTTTAACTAGTTTGCGATCGTTCGGCTTCGAATTAAGAGCTTGGGCTTGTTCTCGATATTGGGAGCACGCTTTGGTGCGAGGTGAGTCTCTTTTCTAACCTTGTAAGAGGGAATTGTCCCCATAGGATTAATAATTGAGTAATTGTTGCTAAATGCGGGGGCTACGCATGTGCTAGGTGACGAGAGTCCGTGCGTAGCTACTACTATGTTAATGGTCCGGGTAGTTTAGGACCCATATCATGCTTATTTTACGTGACTCTCTATATTATCTTATTACTACGAGCACCTAGGATATGCTAGAGATTTAAAAAGGGAATAAGAACGTACTTGTAGAATTGTTAAAGTCTTGCTTGGCATTTATGACTATTGATGTGCCTTGTGTGTATACTTGATATTTCTTCTTATTTGTGGATCGGGCCGATCGCCTCGGTATGAATAGATGGATCTATAGGCGCGTCGTCGACCCTCGGCAAGTGCACAGTTTATTTCTGTTGGATCGGGTTGTCGCCTCGGCATATTTGCGCATGCTTATATAGCTTTGCCTGAGATTGTTAAATATTGGTACTGCTTTCATGGCCCGAAATGCATTGATAATTGTAACTGTAGTAATCGATTAATCGGAATCCTAGCAATAATATGACTTATATGCCTTGTTGTAACTGCTGCCTATGAAAGATTTTCATTGTTAAACTTATACTCATAATATTATCTGACCCTAGTGAGTATCAAATCGACCTCTCGTCTCTACTTCTTCGAGATTAGGCGGGATACTCACTGGGTACATATTGTTTATGTACTCATGCTACGCTTCTGTACTTAAATGTACAAGGTCTGAGGCAGGTGGATCCGGTTATTTCTCTGGTGCGCATTCGTGAGCAGACTTAGGACTTCTACGGTGAGCTGCTTTCCTTCCATGTCGATCCGCAGCCGAAGAAGTCTTTCTTTTGCATTGTTATTTTCTGTCTATTCTGATCCAGACAGTAGGGTAGTGTGGTATTCTTTTGGGTTCTATATTCTACTAGTTGCCCGTAGCTTGTGACACCAGGTTCTGGCACACACTTTGGTAGACGAGTATTTTGGGGTTGTGTAACTATTTTATTATAGTATTTATCTCTCCTGGTTTTAAATTCCAAGTTGAGTGCTTATTCCACTTATTCTAATTAAAAACAATATGATTATTTTAGTAATATTTCCGCAATGGCTTGCCTGACAAGGGTGTCAGGCGCCCTCATGACCTATTGTGAAAATGGGTCG